GCCTACCCCAGTTACCACTACTGTGCATGTGTGTCAAGGACAGAAAGGCAGACGTGGCAGGTGTCAAAGCAGTTTGGAGAGAAAAACAAAGTAAAGAACAAAAAAAAAAGAAAACGATTAATCGATTATTAAATTAGTCATCGATTATTTTAATAATCGATTAGTCGTCGATTAATCAATGAATCGTTGTAGCCCTAGTGAAAATTAAAAACACCAGAAGAATTTATTTTCTAGCTTCAGCACCCTAACTGTTCCATCTGTCGTGTTTCTTCCAGCTTTCCTCTGATGGCTGTGGCTTACTTGGACGGGACTCTGGCCATATATGATCTTTCAACTCAAGTGCTGAGGCACAGCTGTCAGCATGAGGTAAAACAAACAGCAGAGTGGTTTAAAATAGCAGTTGTTCAAAGAGTTGAGCGTGAAAGGCCCAATATTTTTTAAAATTCTCATTTCGATGCGTCAGGCTGGCATTGTTCACCTGCAGTGGGAAGAGTCTTCTTCTGTGGTGTCCACCTGCAGTTTAGACGGCGTGCTACGGCTATGGGATGCTCGTTCCGGCAACTTGTTGTCTGAGTACCGCGGCCACACCGCAGAGATCCTCGACTTCACCATCAACAGGTACGACGGCTTTAAGGCACCCTGTGGGTTTAGCTCAAAGACATTTACTGTCCTTGTAGAAATAAAATACTTCCTTATCTTTAAAGTTTCACATATCAGGACATAAAAAACTGGTTTTCTGATGGAAAACAAATACTAAATAATAATGTTATTTCTAAATGAAAAGGCCATAATTTAATTAGTTAATTTCCCTAAAGTAATCTTTCCAATGGATCAGTAAAGTTATATCTAATCTAATAAAGGAAATAACAAGACAAACTAAATTTCCTGTGTGAAGGCTGAGTGCTCAATGACTTTACTGAGTAAGCTGAAAATAAGTTGACAACGCTAAAAGAAGCAGAACACCAGTTAACAGCTAAAACAAGAAAACAGCTAGCTAAAAATAACAAAAGCCAAGCTGAGGAATAGTAAAATGTTAGCTAAAAGTAGTACAAGGTTAATAAAAGTAATACAGCTTGAGCTAAAATATTAAAATTTTGGCTAAAAGTAAAAATTGTTACTTTTATCAACCAGTTTTTGGATTACTGTTAAGAGTTATTTGTGTTTAAATTTCTGATAAATTAATTTACTGTCTCCATTCTAAGATTGTTGTTGACAAATGTACTTTACTAAAAAATGTTTGTAGGATTAAAAAACTTGAAATATTCTGGCTGTCCTCGTCTCTCCACAGGGAAGCGTCCCTCGCAGTAACAGCCTCCGGAGACAACCAGGCCAAAGTCTTCTGCCTCCAAAGACCCGACCGATAAAAATAATAATAATTAAAAAAAAGCAGAGGTAATATGTCAGGAGAAACGGACGGCTGGTGATCACACTGGAGAATGATTCTCCCTTTTCTCCCACAGGATTTTAAATTATTCTCGTGCTGTTTTGACATCCTTMCTGAGTTTATTTTTGTAGTTTCAGCTGTGCTTCACTGGTAGATGTTGAAGCTACTCCAAGCGCACCTTCAGAAACGGAGGTTCATTCAAAACTACACACAAGACTAAAACAAAGACAAGACTAAAATTTAAAGTATCCGAGACTAAACCAAGAGAAATTAAACAAATGACACACAACAGTGTCCACCATTTGACAGCCACTTTTAATGTTTAATGTCTTTTCAGAGATAAAACTGAGTATTTTGGAGTTTATCTTTTGGAAAATGTTTGAACTTTTCCTCGCAGGATGTGTGAGGTCTTCCAACTCAGACACAAAAATGTTTCCTGTAAACTCAAGTGTAAATACAAAGAAATAAAACTGTACACTTTCTTCTCAGTAGTTTAATTTTTCTTTTAATTTGGTGACTGTTTTGTGTCTTGTGTGTATGCGTTTACACTGATTTAAATCCTGAGGTTTAATTTGTTCATGACATGTCTAAATGGAATCAGTTTTGACTCTTATATTAAAGTCATAAAGTTATTCTCTTCTGTCACAATTGAGATTTAAAGAGGATTCTTTGGGTAAAAATGAGAAAGATCACCTCAGTCCTTTTTCTAAATGAAAAGAGATGCTAAAAGAAAAAAATTGTATAGGTCTTCTGGACGGGTTCTCTAATGAAACGTTTCGTCTCTTCAAGAGACTTCTTCAGTCTGAGAGTTTCATCACTCCACCCCCTGTTAACAATAGGTGTTAATTAGGTGTCAACGATAGCCATGTGATGTGAGTATCAGTCACATGGAGGCAGGGCTTAAAAGCCTGAATTTTGCCTGAAACTCTCAGACTGAAGAAGTCTCTTGGAGGAGAGACGAAACGTTTCATTAGAGAAGAACCCGTCCAGAGGACCTATACAATTATTTTTCTTTTTGATTTTTTACCTGGATTACTGAGATGCATCAGGACGAAAAGAGATGCTGATGTCAGCAACACATTTGTCGTTCTCAACCAGGGTTCCCACAGATCCTTAAAGGGGCAATATGTAAAATCAACTTTTTTGAGTTTTAAATCATATTATAATGTTATACTCTCATAAAAACATGCCCAAAGCCTTGCTCTGACTCATTCATGCATGTTTGAGAAATTCTGCAGAGTTTTTAGGAAGTCATGCTGAGGAGCAAAACGACAGGTGGGGACCAGAAACACCTTTTGGTACCAGAAGCGCCCCTGGGACGTGTCTTTAAGCCGAACTTCCTCATGGCAGAGCGCACCCCCTCCCCACACACCCCGCCCATGACTCCTGCAGGCTGTCTGGTGAAAGTGAAACCTAACTGTCTGCTGAGCTCTCAACATTAGTTCTCACTCAGTGAAGCTCTTTTCAGGTTCAAAATACCTTTGAGGAAATGTATTTTCAGATGCCAAGTAAACTGCATCAGAGCCCCCCCACCCACTGCACCAAAATGGGCGGGACAGAAGCGGAAGGAGGTTCTTAAAGAGACAGAGGTCAATTTCAAGGCGTTTAGAAGAGGAAGTGATGAGAAAATAAGTTTATTTTCTATTTAAACATAAAAACAGCATTTTAGTAACAGCTAAAGGTGACAGATACTTTATTATTATGGTATAGTATTTAAATATATGCCTGAGAAACACAAATTGCCCATTTAAGTCTTACAATGCATTGAATTCATCAATCCAAAAAATAAGGCCTCTAGCCTTAAAATGTCTTAATCTTTCAGAGGTCTTAAAATGCAGACACATTTTAAGTAGGAGGATTGCTAGTCATCTCAAATATTAAAATAATAGGTATATTTTCTGAAATAATTTAACATATGCCTCTCGCAGCTGGTTTTGTGATAAACATTTGGCTAAAATAGTTGCTAACTGGGTATTTTTTTACGTTTATATTTATTGTGAAGTTGGTCTTAAATTAAATTTGAAGTGGCATTAAGGAGGTCTTAAATTTAACTTGCTTTAAGCTGTATGAGCTCTGTCAGCAGCCAAATGATTCAACCTAATTGCTCTGCTTCACTCCGCTGCACATTTTACTCCAGAAATTAGTGGTGTTCATGAACAATTTGAATCGTTTGAACGGCTCTTAGAAAATAAAGATGGCAACTGAGTTGGAGGCAGTTGGGAGCTGTTTTTTTTGTCCTCAGATGAAGACTCATACCCATCCACCCATCTTTTACCTGTTTTTTTCCTTTCCAGGTCATGGGAGTCGCTTATGACCATATCCAGCAATCCACTGTTTTGAATGTAACAATAAAAGCAAAAGTTACAATAAAAAAAATACTTGGTAAACTTACAAATTCTTAAATGACTTAAGTACTGTAACAAAGTAAACATATTTAGTTATTCTACACCTCTGGTTAGTAATCATTCAGATTGGAACATCTGTACCAGAAATGATCTTTCCGTTCTTGCTTGTTCAACAGAAACAAGAAAAAAAAGTGTCATTTCCTGCTCACAAGTGTTTTTTCCCTTATGCCCCAGTTGAGAAATCATGAGCTGAACGTGTATGTGCACAACCCAAGAACGCTGTAAAAGTCCACTTTTTGTTATGTGGACAGAGAAATGGACACTTTGTCCTCTGAAAGTGAATAGAAAGGGGTCAACTTTAGGTCACGTAGGGGAAAAAAGGGTCAACATTTAATTTTGAAAAGTGTTGCACAGCTCTGCAGAGTCTAAGCAGAACAGTGTGGGGAAAATGATGCCTGCAGTCAGGGACATCAGGATGTTTTTGTCATTTCTTTCTCTCCAATCTGTGCATGATGTTTACATTAGAGCTAAAATACCCACAAGTCTGATCTAAACTGGTTGGAAAGCGTCCCAACTATATGGTCACATTTTCATACAAACTGACTTGAGAAAACAACAATTACTAAAGTATTTGCAAACATAATAAACTAGTACTAGTATTAATTCCAAAATTGCATATACAGAACAGTAGATGTCTTTTGGACGAGATAATTTCATCCTTGCTCGTTTTTGGCGAGCTGAAAAACAACTTGTGCATAATTTGGAGCACTTGTTACAGTTTGGAAGGTTGAAAAAAAAATGTTATTAAAGCTGAATACATTGATCTTCCTTACAAGCTAGACTTAATTATTCTTATTGCATTAGTTTTTTTTCTGCTGTCTGCAGAAATAAACCAGATTAGAAGTGTGATTTATGTTCGTACAGTGCCTCAGGCGTGTGGAAAGCCAAGACGCTTTGTCTCCTCCTTTGGAAGACGTGCTTTAATGTCCATCTGTCCTCTCTGTGTTGTGTCTTTTCGAATCCTTCCAGGCTTGGGAACATTTCTGTTTAAAACTATTATCTGAGAGCAGCTTATTCATCCATGTTTTTCTCCAAACTATCGGGGAGGGAGGCCTCAGTGTTTGGCTCACAGCGGAGCTCACCGCCAGCTCTCCATCCAACATTGTGTTTAGAGACAAGACACGTGTGACAGCTGTTTTGGATTCAGGTGTACACACTGTTGTATTTATTTGTTCTGTTCACCCCTAGGTCAAATACAATGAAATAAAATACATGTTAGCATAAATTTAACCTTCTCTAAACTGTTCCTGAAGGGAGGATTTGGTCGTGTTAAAGTAAGTTTCACGTAAATCTAAATAAAATTGCCCTTTTTTTACTTTAATTTTTTTATACAAATCATATTTAAATGTGAACCAAATAAAACTATTGTACTATGTAAGTGTGCCCAACTGTAGCATGTTTCAGGGCTGTAGAGCATACGTAACATGTTTAGCAATGACTTCTAACAGCTTACATTATTAGCTTCAGTTCTGGTCTGATCACATTCACACTGACGTAAATAAAGTAAGAAAAAAATCTGCTTACTTGTGAAAAGAGACACATTTTCCTGTTTCTCTTCTGTTGCTAACCTTGGCCGGCTAGCACACACAGCTTTATGGCTTTTTTACATTTTAAATGCATATTTCTTATATGCATTCTAATATATTATATTAATATTATTGTTAATATTAACTTTAATAATTTTTATAAAACCAGCCATTATTGTCTATTTTTGCCAATATCTACAAAATGCTAATTGTCTAGCAAAATGCTAGACTCTTTGATAATCGCCGGCGTGTGGTGCACCTTGTTTGGATTTAAAGACACAGCGTCAAAACGAGCTGATCTGAGACACAGCCCAGGAATGGGGTGAGAAAGGGGCTTGTGGAGTTACAGTGAGAATGAATTCAGACTAAACCATTGCAGTTCCACTTTATAGAGACCCTAATGAATGATTTAAATGTGAAAAAGAAGGATTTAAAAGCATGACATGTCTCCTTTAAACCAAATTACACAGTCTATAAAGCTTTCTTTCAGCCTTAATGTTACAATTATTAGCCTAAATCTTGCTTAGATTTTTGGTTTAATGTTTTTGAAATACTAGCTGGAACCAAAAAAAAAAAAGGGAAAAATGTTTTTTATTATTATTATTGGTTGAAACATTTACATTTTAGCATTGTCAGACCAATGTTTTGACTTTATATCATTTTTTGTTGATTTTACTGATTGATAAAATTGTTTGTTAAAAAGGCTGAAGACCAAAAATTAAACATTTACTGAAAATCTTTGCCCCGGTATTTGTTGTAACAATGCTTCTTGGTAATAAATCTTATACCTGGCACTTGACTGGCAGCACCTGGAGGTACCAGAAGCTCAAAAACAAGTGTCAATAGCAACAATAAAATAAGCTGTYTGGCAGTTTTTGCATGTGAGCAACCCACAGCTCTGCTGCTCCTCCCACAAATGCATGTTCCTTACTAATGTGGCATCATTTAAAAGGAAAATTGCAGGCTTTCCAATGATATAATATGTATTGCCAAGAAGCATTGTTACAACAAAGGATTAATCTACCAAAGACAAATTTCCTTACATTTTGTGATAGGTTTATGTGTGCATAAAGTTGGCATTGGTTATTCATTTTTCCTACCTACATATGTTTTGGTCTCAACAAACCAAAGACACACTCCAAAGCCCAAGAAACCTTCAAGATATTTTATATTCTTAAATATCAGGTTATTTCAATATATTTTCAGCTGATGAAAATAACATCATTACATTTTCTTCCATTCATGGACCTAAGTCAAATGTTTTGGTCTCAACAAACCAAAGACACACTCCAAAGCCCAAGAAACCTTCAAGATATTTTATATTCATAAATATCAGGTTATTTCAATATATTTTCAGCTGATGAAAATAACATCATTACATTTTCTTCCATTCATGGACCTAAGTCAAATAAATTCAAGAATATTTAAAATAAATAATACAAAAATMTAAATAGGCTGAGGGATAGGAGATACTACCCCCACTCAATAACCTCTCAGAAAAAAAACAAAAATAAGTATTACTGCCGCCTCCTCCCTTTGAATCAACTTCCCCTTTAAGCTATCAGAGGAAGAGACTTGCACCATCTCTGAGTTTGTGCTTGGTTTTGTAAATAACTGCWGGGGGCTGAAGAAGCTCCTACAGTCTGAACCTCGGAGCTTCTGCCTGTAAATATGACATGCAGGAGAACAGGCTCAGAGCTGATGAGAAACTGAAAATTATTCCCACAAAGGATACATGATGGAACCATTCATCCCAAGAAAAAGGTAAAAGTCTTTTTTACTGATGTTGTCATTTTTGCATGTTGATTGCATCTTTGATTCCAGTTCTGCGTTTTCTGTGGGATGTTCCTGCATGTTACACGTCTTACGTAGAACATTTGGATAACAATTTGGGTTTTATTTAAATTACATTTGGGAGCTTAATATAAGAGAAACAGCCATTGTTACTTTTGTGAACTCACCTTTTAAAGACGCTTTAAAATCCAATTTGCTGAAACTAAAACGTCCTAAAATTCACCCTGAAAACTGACTTGAAAACACTGTAGTGTACATAATATAACTTTTAGTACTACAAGACCAATGCACTGTAAAAAAATGTCTGTGTCGTAGAAATCTGAGCATTTGTTATGACACTATTATTAAAACAGAGATAAATCACATAGACATAATTGTCATAAATAAGTACAGCTGATAGGTTGTGTACATTTTCCTTTAAATCTACTGTACACAGTGTATTCTTGCTCCAATGAGACATGCATCACTATCTAAATTTACAGACAAAAGGGAGCTGTAACTTCAGACTCCAAGATGATAAATTATTGACCAACATTACCCTCGCGTCTTCAAACATCTGTTCTTGTCAGCTGTTGGCTAACAGGAAGGTGACATCTTGTTTCAGCAGCAAACAGATGACGGATGATAATAATTACAGCCGTGTGGTCTCGTAACAAGTTTTATCTCTGCTCAGTTGGTCCAGCAGCTTTCTGAGGCAAAGACATGACAAAATATAAATTATGTGGTAAATATAAATAATAAATAATCTGCTTAAGTGGACCCTTGGGCTATGCATGTAAAATTTTAAGTGGTCCTATTTTAGGGACATTAGGGACTAAGTGACGTTAAAGACAAACGTCTTTTTAAACAATTTAAGCGTCTCCTTAAATTACAATTGAATCTGAGGCTTTAAGGCAGAGGAGCCCAAAGTGGGGCCCGCGGGCCAAATTTGGCCCACCAAGCCATTTGATTTGGCCCACCAACCGTTGCCAAAGTTACAAGGTTGTAACCTGTTATCCTATGTAGAAACACAGTATTTCCATTGGTCAAATGACTATATAAAAGGGCTGTAGTGAAGGTAGTTTTCGTTCATGGTGCTGACTTTATTTTTGATTTATTAGGATTAAACATGAAATGACAAGAAATATTTAGATCAGATTTAACCACATGTAGATTTGCACACTTTATAAGGCCACCAAAATTCATATTTTATCAATTTATGAAATGTCCCATGTACCTTTGCTATTTGAGCGTATGGCAGACTTTCTCCAAGTGCACAGACTAAAACAAAAGAGGGCCACTGCATACTTTAATCATTAAAAATAAAGGACTTTACTTAAAAAGTATTTGCATTTCATGTATTATATTACTACATTTGGCCCGCAGGCCTGGATAGATTTTCATTTTGGCCCTCTCTGGGAATATGTTTGGGCACCCCTGCTTTAAGGCTTAAATCTAAATGTACTTGAAATACAATGAAACACTAAGACGTTTGTGTGAATTGTTTTTGAAGTGCATCATTATGTCTGTTTCTGTTCGGTTTGATTTCGCAATGAATTCCTCAGAATCTTCTTTGCTGCTTGCTCATCTGACCTTTTCCTTTCTTTGTACATCTTGAAAAATACCCACCATGCAGTGGCTGATGCTAGTTTTTCAASRAGAGGAAGCTCAATTTCGGCCTACATAATAAAATATGTGGGTTATAAATTCTACCCTCCGTTCCTTTTCAAAAAACGATCTGTGACCCTGTCTTTTGTTGAGTTTATAGTATTTATTCATTTCATTTTAAAAAACAAAACATTACACACAACAAAACAATACAAATAAAATAAAATGAAAGGCAGCAGAAGAAGAAAAAGATCTTGATATC